ATATTAGATATCTTTAAAATTTCCTTTTTTTTTCCTTTTGAACTTTATTTTGTATTGGGGTATAGACAACCCAGGAGGTTGCCCAGGAGGGCATGGCATCCCATTCCAGTATTCTTCCCTGGAGAATCCCCATGAAGAGAGGAGCCTGGCGGGCTACGGTCCATGGGGTCGCAAAGAGTCGGACATGAGTGAACGACTAAGTGTAGCACACAGCCGACTAACAGCGATGTTGTGATAACTTCAGGTGAACAGCAAAGAGACTCAGCCATAGCGTGTGCTTGGCTTCTTTAAGGAATTTAACCGGATGCCGTTAAAAACATTATCCTGAAACCATTGTGCACCTTCATGTGTGAATGGGCAAAAGAGGATTTGGAGTAAACCTCCCGATGTTTCAATTGACTTTAGCAGGAAAAGAAGTGTGTAATGGGTAATACATGCTAGAATCTACCCAAGTTGCTTTTTCGTTTGTTTAAACATTTCTAATTTTTATTTATTTGGCTATGCTGGGTGTTAGTGGTGGCATGCAGAGTCTTTAGTTTGCAGCGTGGGGGATCATTAGTTGTGATATGTGGGATCTCGTTCCCTGGCCAAGGATGGAACCTGGGCCCCCTGGTTTGGCAGCGCAGAGACTTAGCCGCTGGACCACCAGGGTTTAACAAGTGTAGGTGTGACATCTGACTGAACTCTCACAACATCCCTGGGGAAGGGGTTGGACGTTATCCCCATCTGACAGGTGAGGGAAGAGAGGCACGGCCGGGTCTGAGAACCACACAGACAGTGCTGGAGGCCGTCGGACATGACTTAGCAACTAGACAGCCACAACCACCAGGGCCAGGGCAGTCGCCCAGTCGTGTCCGACTCGTTGCGGACCCGTGGACTGTGGCCCACCAGGCTCCTGCATCCATGGGATATTCCAGGCAAGAGTACTGGAGTGGGTTGCCATCTCCTTCTCCAGGGTATCTTCCCGACCCAGGGATCAAACCCAGGTCTCCTGCACTGCAGGCAGACGCTTTACCGTCTGAGCTACCAGGGGAGCCCCAACAGGGGCTGCACACAGGTGCCTGCACTTCTCCCGTGCTCATGTCTGTCCCCTGTCCGTCCGTCTCGGGGCTTCTGGGTTTCCCTCTTCATGTCTCGTTATCTCTCTGCCTGCCTCCTTGCCATACCTGTCCTCTCAGATCTCAGGTATCACCATTTCCACCTTTGTGCCTCCTTCCCTGACAATAAAATGTGTCCCACTCCCAGGGTGATTAGCAAACCACTCTGTACCCAGCACGGGTGGATGCTGATCAAACCAAATGCGCACAGGTGATAGACAACCAGGAAGGACAACCCAGGGCTTGATGCCTGTATGTTACCTGTCACTATGGGAATTTACTGAATGTATCACCATTTATTGTTATCTGACCCTCCCACTAGAATGTTAGTTCTGTGAGAGCGAAGATATTCACGTTTTGTTCACTGCTGTGTCCCCAGTGCCTAAAACGGCCTGGCACACAGTAGGCACTGTTCTGCCCGATGTGCGAATCCCAGAGCGGGAAGAGAGAACTTCCAAGACAATGCAATTTACAAAAAGGGAAGTTTTATTACTGACTCGAGTCAGGGCTTTCTGCTGCAACCAACACAGTGGCGCAAGGTCAGAAAAGCCTTGAGCAGAGGCTGTTATCCAAATTTATAAGGTATGCATAAGCGATTAGTAGCTGGCTTAAGCGGATTGGTTACATGTTTGCAAAGCAATTTTATTGATACAAACTTTCGCGGGCTTTTTCAAACCTGGGCATTCGCGGGCTTTTCAGCTCTTCCTTTGTTTCTTACTGGGCGCATATTGGCTGGCTCCAGGTTACCTGATGGGGGTAGGGAATCTTATCATTTCAGGGGAAGCCAAAACTTAGGTCCAGGCCGCCTGTCATGGTATTAACCCTGGCAGCCTCACAGGCACCCAATAATGGCTTATTGAAAGAATGAGTAAACGTCTGCTGTGTCCTTTGAGATCTCGCCATAGCCTTGTCTTGGGTGTCTGTCTCAGTCATGTCTCAAGTCTCTCTTTCTGGGTCTGTCTGTCTCTGCCTTCCTCAGTCTTGGTCTCTGAGTCTCTGTGTCTCTCTGTGTGGCCACAATGCATTCATAGAACACTTACTTTGGGCCAGGCCTGCCGGGGTCCAGCCTCAGTAGGATCCAGGGCTACCCTCAGGTTGAACGGCGTCAGAGAGAGAGAGAGAAAGAGAGAGAGACCAGACTGGGGGTATGCAGCAGGGTCTGGCAATGCTTTATTTTTTACCATAGCTTTTATACCCTAAGTTAATACATTTCTAAGGGGAAGATAGTTTAACTTTACATCAGCTTGTCCTTCATGAAACCAGGGTGTTATCTGCATGCTTCTTTGTTTATGAGAGTCTTGTACATTATCTTCTGGCCTCGGGGCCTATTAAATTTTACGACCTAAGTGAACGCAAAGCTGTTTTCTGTAATCTATTCTTTATTGAACACAAAAGTCAGTCCTTTTGCAGAAGTTATCAGTTAAATTTATCTAAAAGGTTTACCACACAAAGACTCTGCAGCTCTGGTGAGGCAGCCCCTGTTTAGCATTCCTGGTTAAAATTAGCAATTCTAAACTCTTATTTTCCTAAATCTTTAACTATAACCACTTTTAGAATAATATTTTTGTGTTCTCTAATAGGACTTCCTAACCCCCAAAGGGCTCTGTGCCTATTAGGGCCTTTTGTGTGATCAGGTTCTTCATGCTGTTTATGATTAAGGTGTTGTGAGCAGTCAGGTGCATTAGTATGCATTTGCCAAGCAGGCTAGAATGCCAGCAAAGGGGTCTAAACTGAAACACTCCTTTCATCCTGGATAATCTTATAGGATAACACCGTCCGGGGGACATATTAATTAAAGTTCCAAGTTGATTCTGTTTGGAGAGAGATCGGGGAAGGCCTTCTACCTGTGACACAGAAATTAGGGAGTAGTCTAATATAGCAAGCATCAGAAAGACAGAGATCATCTTTAATGTGAGTGCTGGGGCAGCTTTTCGAAATCCCTGAAGTCCTGATCTGCCTTGCTTGTCAGGTCTTCTCCTCATGACCTTGTCATAGGTGGGGTCTCGTGTGGCTCACGGCACAGGCCCCCTGCACACTGGGTCTCATTTTCATTCTCATAAATATCCTATAGCGTAGGCACCCACATTTTCCTGATGAGCAAACTGGAAGCTCAAAGAGCAGCAGACGCTTGCCTAAGAGATTGTGCTGTGTCCTCCAAATAGGCTGGGAGCTCCTGTCAAGTCCCCCCTCCTCTTGATGAGTGATTGACAGCTCATGTTAGCAATCTAAGGGCTCGGAGAAGTCCTGTAGGAAAGAAAGCAGTTTGTTTACCCAAGCTTCCCCTTGCTTACTTACCCAGATAACTCTTCCCCTTAGAACTTACTGTCCTCTCTGCCTCTCACCCTTTCCATTTCTTTTTCCTTCTGCTTCTCTTTGTCTGTTGTCTCTCTCTGCATCTCTCTCAGAAAGGCATCCCGGTCCAGTGGTTGGAAGAACAGATTCTGGAGCTAGACTGTCTGGGCTTGACTCCTGCTGCTACCTCTAGATGGCTGTGTGACCTTGGGCAGGATCTTAACCTCTCTGTGATTCACTCCATTAACTGAGTGAGGATTAGGTGATTTCCTCTGTGTAAAGCACTTCATGTTTCCCCATTGGTGATTCCTGGGTGTGAAATAAGGACCCAAGTTCAATGCCAGTTCACACAGCACAGTGGAACCCAGGACCTGGGTTAAGGAAAGTTCATGGTGGCCTCTCTCCAAGGTCAGGAAAGTACAGGTCCCACCTCTTCAAGAGATCAAGGGACACTGGGTTGGAGGAGTGTGACTCAACTGCTGGGATCAGAGGTTTGGGTCCTCAAGAGGTTTGTGTAACATTGCAAGAAAGAGACTGCCACCCTCCTTCTAAAGAGGAGAGACAGAAGGAGGTGGAAAGCCAGACCCAGGCCACGACAAGTGGACACAGACAGAATCATTAGCATATTTGGTAAATACAAATGGAGCCTGCCAAAGCTCAGGGGAGGCTGGAGACAGGCCAGCTGACATTGATCATACTGCACACAGTCTCTGCTCCTGGAGCTCAAGTTAAAGGAGTGAGACAGACACAGAGACAGAGAGAGACAGCAGGAGAGGTACACACACAGATATGGACTGTCATCGCGGGATGGAGGAAAGTCCTGCCACTGTGAAGATGGAGCAGGAGGCAGGGAGAAAACTCAGGGCATCAGAGATCTGAAGACCCCAGAGCTGTGTCTCTCACCCCGATTGTTTCGTTTCTCCTGCCTCTCCCATCTGTGGCTCTCACAGGAGGGAGGGCGAAGGAGGGGGAGTGGAGAGAGAAAGACTAAGTGTCTGCAAGCTCTGTAGTGACAGGGACTGTCTTATGCACGTGCGCACACACACACACACACGCAGACTCACACACACAGACCCACCCCACCACCACCACCATGAAAACACACACAGCTTCACGTGTGAGGCACCACATAAATACATAGATCCACATACGTGCAGAGACATATGTGTAAGCACACTCACACTCATGTGCAGAAACAGACATGGGCATGTTCACATAAATACAAGGCCTCTTTCATGTCTAAGGATCGTGCAAGCACACACACGCAAGCAGGTATGCACCAAAGTATTAAACACAAACCCACGAACACAGCTAAAGCCAGGAGACAACGGGTGCTCCCCATACCCACAAAAGTCAACAGACTCATGGGGACCTTGTTATGGCTACCAGGGTGTCTCTGCCAGCATCTGGTCGGTGGGGGGGTGCTGTAGAGTATCAGGGGAGCAGGTCAGCTGACCCCTGGAGCAGGAAGCATGTGCTTCTTCTGTTTTGAGTTCACACTCTCAGGATGCCAGGGAATGGATGATGTAACATAACTGGGTGTGGAGGCAGGCTTAGCATAAAAGGCTCAGCCAGAAGCCCAGCAGGTTGGGAGAACTTCGGACTGCGGCCATGGAGCTCACCGTACTCCTTCTCCTTGCTCTGCTCACCGGACTCTGGGTCCTCCTGGCCAGAGGCCGCCCAAAGGCCCATGGCCGCCTCCCGCCTGGCCCCCGTCCTCTGCCCTTCCTGGGGAACCTTCTGCAGATGGACAGAAAAGGCCTGCTCAAATCCTTCCTGAGGGTGAGACTCAGATGTGCAGGGTCTGAGGGTGGCTCCTTGCCTCTGTCCTTGGGGATCATTCATCAGGAAATGTGAGGCATCCTTCCAGGCTCAGGGGTGGGCTGTGGGAAGTTTGGCGAGGAAGGGATGTGGAACTGAAGTGTGGTGGATGGTGATCAGGCAGTCAGGGGCGTCCCTTGCTCAGTTGGAAGTGTGCGGGCACTGTCCCTGGAGAGGGTGGGCAGGCGTGAAGTGGTGTCTGGGTGTGAGCCGGGGGTATAGAAATCCCTGCTCCTCTGTCCCCCTCTCCCGAGTCCCTGCCTGCCACAGGGAGAGAGAGAGAAAGGGTGGTGGTACCAGACAATAGGTTTCTCCTCTGCCAACAAAAGCTGTGAAAGATTGGCCCCAGCCAGGGCCAGACAAAGGGGAGGAGGGAAAGGGAGCAGAGAAGGCCAGGTCCCAAGTTCTTAGCAATCGTTAACAAGAACGTGCAATGAGTAGCTGATCCTGGAGTGGTTACCAGGCCCTGTATCACGGCTCTGCAGGCATGATTTCATGATGGATGATTTATTTATGCATCAATAATGGAATCCATGGGCTTCCCAGGTGGTGCAGTGGTAAAGAATCTGCCTGTCAGTGGGTTAGAATCCTCAGTCGGGAATATCCCTTGGAGTAGGAAATGGCAACCGACTCCAGTAGTCTTGCCTGGAAAGTTCCATGGACAGAGGAGCCTGGGGGCCTACAGTCCATGGGGCTGCAAGGAGTCAGACACGACTGAGCAACCGAGCACACGCACCGTGTAATCCACACCCACGAGCCCACTGCTCAGCAGGTCAGGCTTAGTAGCCCCCAGCAGCCCCAGTGTCTCTGTCCCCTCCCCCCAACCCTGCAGTGACCACAGTCCTGCGTCTCGGGTTTGCCATCTGTTTTGTGTGTTTTTGTTCTTTTGAGCTCTGCTGGTCCTTTGCTGTGCTGTGTGAACATCCTCTAGTTTGGTGTGCCAGCTTCACTTGTAGCGCGTGGGCTCTAGAGCGCACAGGCTCAGTAGTTGTGACTCGAGAGCTCTCTAGTTGCAGCAGTCTGGTTTAGTTCCTCTGTGGCAGGTGGGATCTTAGTTCCCCTACCAGGGATCGAACCCATGTCCCCTGCATAGGAAAGTGGGTTTTTAACCACTGGACCACCCTTGATTTTAAGCGAGAGTGTTTTATCACAGATGTGGGATCCCCAAGTGCATATTATTTTGTTTCCATCACAAGGGTGAACACCATGGACTTTGGTGGAAATACCTGGACTTAGTTTCTTCACTCAGAATTAAGTGGCTAGGATTTATTAGTATCATGGAGCAAATTCATCAGGTCGTGGTTACAACAGCTCGTGGCCAAGAAGAGGAGTCGCCCTCACCTTAGAGAAATAGAGAGTGAGGTGAGCCCGGGGAAGGCACTGGTCCGTAGTTACACCCTGGGACTTCAGAGAGGGGATGTGCGAGTCCAGCACGGAGGCCTCTTCTTCTCCTTCACAGACGGAAGCTGCCTAGTAATTTGCTATTTTATTTATTGTTATCACATGCACGCTCAGCTGTGCCCGACTCTTTGTGACCCCAGGGACTGTAGCCTGGCAGGCTGCTCTGTCCATGGGATTCTCCAGGCAAGAATACTGGTGTGGGTTGCCATGTTCTACTCCAGGGGATCTTCCCAACCCAGGGATGGAAACCCCTTCTCCTGGGTCTCCTGACAACTTGGGGATCACTGAATCCTTTGGGGAGTTTAAGGCACGGTGGATCCCCTCCTCCGTAAATGTTCACATGCATTTTGCATAAATTTTTGCTAGTTCCAGACCCCCTAAATCTCTTCTATAGCTCTTGCAAGGGTCCTTTGTGTGTCCGCGATCCTCTTTTTATCCTGTTGTGTCACGGGGCGTGTGGGATCTTAATTCCTCAACCAGGGATTGAACTCGTGCCCCCTACCGTGGGAGCTTGGAGTTCCAACCACTGGACCATCAGGGAATTCCCCATGATCCTCCATTCTCATTGTGTCTTTGGAGAGAGAGAGAGAGGTTGAGAGAGATAGAGGGAGGCAGGGAAAGAGAGGTCATAGGTTAGTAGGTGTCATGATTTACTTCCAAATCAATCTGGAGTCAGATGGATGAGAGTTTGTGTTCCAGATTCAACTCTTACTCATTGAATCTTAGCTTCTCTTCAGCAAGATGAGGTTGTGATGATAAGAATGCCTGCCTCGTAAGAGACTTGTGAGGACTAGATAGTGCCTAGAGCTTGGTATACAGTAAGTGCTCATTAAAAGGACGTTACTCGATCTATTCATTCATTTATTCATTCATTCAATGGTAACTTACTGGGCACCTCTGTGTGCCGGGAAACATTCTAGGCATCGATGATGTGGCATTAGACAGGGCACACAAACAGACAAGGAAACAGGTTGGTAAGAACTATGATTACAATAAAGCAAGGTGATATTTTCAAGAGTTGGGGGAGCCAGAAACCAGTGGTCTGTGACAACCTAGAGCAGTGGGATGGGGTAGGAGGTGGGAGGGATGTTCAAGAGGGAGGGGACATAGGTATACCTACGACTGATTCATGTTGACATATGGCAGAAACCAACCTAATGTTGTAAAGTCATTATCCTCTAATTAAAAATAAATAATTTTTTAAAAAGTGACAGGAGCTACTTGAAGCTACTTTAGAGTGAGTGGCGAAGGCAAGGCTCTATCTTGCCTTGTTGCTGATCAGACACCCTGAAAGATGCCTGTGGAAGATATCACTGAGCGACAGGTGTCAGTGGCAGACCTCAGAAGCAGGAGCAAGCTCAGCATGTTTGGGGAACCACAGGGAGCCTGGAGCTGTGCGATCGAAGGGTCTGTGTGAGTGGGTGGAGATGTCAGAGGGTGATGGGGCAACATCATGTAGGGCGCTGTCCACCATGGGGAAACTTGAGGTCTCACTCTCAGGGTAGTAGGAGTGCTGGATGGTTTGAAACAGGTTAGGGATATCAATTAATTTACATTTTAATGAGGTAGCTCTGGTTTCAAGATAGGGTGGGGTGTGTAGTGAGAAAATTGTGTGTAGCACAGGAAAGGAAGTTAGGAGACCAGCAAAGAGGGTTTGCAGACGTCACGGTGAGAGAGTTTTCAACAAACTTAACCTTTTTATAATTTTAAGTCCACTTTTTAATCAATTTTTGAAATTGCGGTATCGTCGATTTCCCAAGTTTTGCTGATTTCTGCTGTGCAGCAAAGTGATTCTGTTGCACATATATATGCTTTCCTTTTTAAAAGCTTCCTTTCCATTATGGTTTATCTCAGGATACTGAATGTAGTTCCCTGTGCTATACAATAGGACTTCATTGTCTATCCATTCCATGTCTGAAAGCTTACATCTGCTTTGCCCAGCCTCCCACTCCATCCAGTCTTCCCGTGACAACAACCAGTCTGTTCTCTATGTCTGCGATTCTGTTTCTGTTTCTTAGGTATGTTAATTTGTATCATATATGTTTCATTTGTGTCACTTTTTAAATTAATTTTTTATACTGTGTTACCTTAATTTAATTATTATTTCTTTGGCCACATTGTGCAGCATGCAGAAACTTTGTTCCCTGGCTGTGTCATACTTTACATTCCACATATAAGTGATATCATATGGTGTTTGTCTTTCCTCTTCTGTAACTCAACTTGTAAGTGAAGTTTAACCTTTAGGGTAAAGTACACAAATCCTAAGTGCTCAGTTCAGTGAATTTTCTCAGAAGAACATACTAATGGAGTTGACATGCAGATATGTAACAACTTGGCTCATGCCCAGAAACCTCCTTAAGTCCCCCTTCCAGTCCCCACCTTCCTGTTATTCTGACACCACAATTTCCTGTTATCTGTTTCTGGATTTCATATAAATGTAATTATGACATATGAAGTCTTCTGGGTCTAGTTGCTTTCACTCAGCATTACATCTGTGAGTTTCATTCTTGTTGTTGGTTGTAGCAGTGGTTTGTTTTTTTCATGGCTGCATAGTAGTCCACATTATGAATTCATCACTAGTTGTTTATTCCCTAAGTTGCAGAACATTTTATTATAAGGCATCTATGAATCTCCTTGTTTTTTATTTTGCTGAGCACATGTATGCATTTTAGTTGAGTGTATTTCTGGGAATGAAGTGGCTGAGTTACTTAGTATACATGCCTCCACCTTCAGTAAATACTTTTGAGCTGTTGCCCCAGTGGCAAGACTTGATATTATGATTTTTCAAATGTCATGATAACCCCGAGAAATCTATCACTTTAGCTTCATGCCTCCCAAGTGGGTGGGTGGATCTGTGGGGAAATTGCCAGGAGGCAGATGGGGTTTGAAGATGGGTCACAAGAAGGATGATTTTTTAAAAAAATATTTTATTTATTTATTTTTCCTGTGCTAGGTCTTAGCTGCTCTTCACTGTGGCATGCAAATGCTTAGTTGCGGCACGTGGGATCCAGTTCCCTGAGCAGGGATTGAACATGGGCCCCTGCATTGGGAGCTCAGAGTCTTAGCCAGTGGACCACCAGGGAAGTTCCAAGAAGGATGATTTTTCAGTTGAGATGCCAGTGATCTCACCAGACTCAACTAATGTCACCTGGGCTGGGGTGAAATTATTAATAGGAATGTGTAACCATCTGTGCTTCTTAGGGTGCTTTCCAGGTGGTGATAGTGGTAAAGAACCCACCTGGTAATGCAGGAAATGTCAGAGTTGTTGGTTCACTCCCTGGGTCAGAAAGATTCCCTGGAGGAGAGCATGGCAACCCACACCACTATTCTTGCTTGGAGAATCCTATGGATAGAGGAGCCCGGGGGACTATGGTCCATAGGATCGTAAAGAGTTGGACCCGACTGAAGTGACTTAGCACACACACACGCTGCTTAAGACACCAACCAAGCCAACAAGTGTGGACTGGGCTGGGTCACGGGTTAATCTTTTAGTTGCTGGGTTCTGGGAAGCAAAAAGGCAGACTGGGGTGTAAGGTCTTGGGTCAGGGGCTAGTTATCAATCTTTTGTAAGTGTTTAGTTACCAATCTGTATGTAAGTGTTTTAGGCCTTCCCTGCTGGCTTGGATGGTAAAGAGTTTGCTTGCAATCCAGGAGACCCAGGTTCGATCCCTGGTTTGGGAAGATCCCCTGGAGAAGGGCATGGACATCCACTCGAGTATTCTTGCCTGGAGACTTCTATGGAAAGAGAAGTCTGGCGGGCTACAGTCTATGGGGTCGCAAAGAGTCAGACACAACTGAGTGACTGACACACACACACACAAGTGTTTGTCTGGTTTAAAAATGGAGATGGCGACAGCGGTGCATGCTGACTAATAGCCGCCCTGGCTGTGGGTGTGCTTGGCAGTTCCAACAGAAATATGGGGATGTCTTCACGGTGTACCTGGGACCAAGGCCAGTGGTCATCATATGTGGGACAGAGGCCATTCGGGAGGCCCTGGTGGACCAAGCCGAGGTCTTCTCTGGCCGAGCGAAGATCGCCGTTGTTGACCCAGTTTTCCAGGGATACGGTAAGGGCCTCAGGCCCACTGGGAGGGGACAGGGGATGAGGATGGGGATGGGGGAGGGTGAGTCTGGGAAGGGAAGATAAGGGTGGAGTGGGACCTGCAGTCTCCTTGAAAATTCCTCTGCCACCCAAGCCTCTCCTAAACCCTAGGTGTTGTCTTTGCCACCGGGGAACGTTGGAAGGCCCTTCGGCGATTCTCTCTGGCCACCATGAGGGACTTCGGGATGGGAAAGCGGAGTGTGGAGGAGCGGATTCAGGAGGAGGCTCAGTGTCTGGTGGAGGAGCTTCGGAAAACCCAGGGTGAGCCCTGGGGCGGGGGTGGGCAGGAGAGGAACACGGGGAAGCAGTGTGATCACAGTAGCCCAAAGAGAGAGGGTTTAGGTGGGCAGAGAGAGAGATGGAGAGACAGAGAGGAGACAGAGCTTGGGAGGCCAGCAGACAAACAGGGACTGAGAGACTGGCAAAGAGACAGCGCAGAGGTGGGTAGGTGAGAAATGCATAGGGCAGGAGAGATACAGGCCTGCAGTGTCAAGAGGAATGCAAAGACGACTCAGGCAGTAAATAGCACATTAGTTGCCTATGTTCAAGGGAACCCGTTAGTGGTTTGATTATATCTGTCAAGGACCAAAATGTGACTTCAATAAAAAGAAGGTAAAGAAAAAAAGAGAAAACAGACATTTCAAAAAAAAGGACATACTGTGTTTTTCTTTCTTTGGGTGAACAACTGGCATTGAGCACGGGAGCAGGTGGGGTTTTCTGTTCTTAGAAAGTCAGGTGGGCACTTCTGGGCGCTTTAGGATTCCTCAGAAATGTCCTGTCTGAGACATAGAGATGACAAGATGCTTTCTTAAGAGATTTTGAGACATAAATGGAGAGTCTGGGAGGAAGAGGCAGAGCCACGGGCAGCTCTGGAGGTATAAGGATGGAAGGACTCAGAATAAGACAAGAGGAGACAGAGTGATTCAGATGGAGACACAGAGAGGAAGAAAGAGACAGACATGGAGGGATCGAGGCAAAAAGAGGAGACTCAGAGAGACAGGAAGGAACAATGGCAGGGAGAACCTGAGGTCCGAAGATTGGAGAGAGACAGAGGCTCAGGAAAGGGTGTGCAAGGGAAAAAGAGACAGTGGACAGGAGAGACCCAGGGAGAGATTGCACTGACCTACACTCCTGGGCGCACAGCCCTTCCTCCCTCCACCTGGGGTGAGCTTGGCACATCCAGACACCAAAAATCAAGGGCAGAACAGTTCTCAGAGGACCAGAGAACTCTAGGGGTGGTTGAAAAAGATGGGGGTGGGGGTGGGGAAAGGGCGGACAGTAAAGGACCAGGAGAACAGAACTTTGTCAATGGCACCTGCAATTGATTGAACACGTGCTCTGGTGAGATGAGAATTTAATAAAATAATATGTGAAGTGCTTAGAATAGGGTCTGGCACAACTTCTAGGCTAGCGAGTGTTGGTTGTGATGAGGCTGTTTTTTTTTTTTAAATTGTGACTGAGTGATAGAGGAGAGTCACACAGAGACAGCTCCCCTGGCCCTTGAGTCTGTGTCCTGCGACCCACCCCTTTCCGTCTAGGAGCCCTCCAGGATCCCGTCTTCTACTTCCACTCCATCACCGCCAACATCATCTGCTCCATTGTCTTCGGAAAACGCTTTGACTACAGAGATCCTGAGTTCCTGAGGCTGCTGGACTTGTTCTTCCAATCTTTCGTGCTCATCAGCTCCCTGTCCAGCCAGGTGCAGGAGGGCAGACCTCGGGTGGACATCCAGGCAGGGGAGAGGGGTGATTTGCTTTTGGGAACTGGAAAGGCAGCTTCCAGCCCGAAGAGGGGCAAAGACAACAGAGGGAGAGAGAGACAGGGACACAGAGGCCTGGGGGAAGCGAGAGGTGGTGAGACAAGGACTGAGACAGTAAGAGAAAGAAAGGGGAGTGATGGAGGAGGGAGAAACAGAAAGAGGAATCAAAGACACACACATGAACCTGCTCCTCTCTTAAAACAAAAAGGTAAAGTGTGTCTTTCTCAATTAACCTAGAAATACCCCTATTGCAAAAAGTGAAAGTGTTGGTCCCTCAGTTGTGTCTGACTCTTTGTGATCGCAGGGATTGTAGCCTGCCAGGCTCCTCCTCTGTCCATGCAGTTCTCCAGGCACGAATGCTGGAGGGGGTTGCCATTTCCTCCTCCAGGGGATCTTCCCAACCCTGGCAATGCAGACAGATTCTTTACCTTCTGAACCACCAGGGAAGCCCCACCCCTATTGTATGTTCAGTTAAAAAGTGAAACTTCAGAAAAGTCTGCCTGGCTGTTGTTCTCAACCGAGAGTGCAGATCAGAGTCACAGGAATGAATATGGCAAATCCAAATTTCCATGACCTCCTAGTGAAGAATCAGGCCTGGAAAATCTGGAGGGAGGTTCAGATGAGTATTTCCACAAGTCCAACACGGGGTTTCAACTTTCTTCTCTCACAGAGAACCACAGAGAGGGGAAAAGTCTGGAAGGTGTTCTGCCAAACAGTTAACCATGTTATCTCTTGAAGGACAGGTGAAGGAGGAATTCCACATCATAGTTTATACTATCCTGCATTTTTTGTAATTGTTGGCAACAGGTTAAATGTTACATTTCTCATTAGGCAAAGCAATAGACCTATGCTCCCAGAGAGTCAGCAGCTTCATTTTGTGTAAGCATCGTGTTATCAACGCCTGACACAGCAAGGCTGATGCAAGAGGTGGAAAGAGGCAGAGAGAGGTTTGAGTAGAAGAGATAAACTGGCTGGGGTAGGCAGGGGCAGGGCAGAGGGTAGATCAGCAGGAGACCCTGGAGATGAGGAGAGGTGGAAGGGAGAGAGAGACAGGTGGGCCAGAGACTAACAAGAAGACACAAGGAGAGGGGGAAAGATGCAGAAAGAGAAAAATGTGATCTCTTACACAAAGGAGACACAGAAGCAGTGAGTGAGGAGCTCAGATACAGAGTGAGAGCCAGAGGGAGACAGAGACAGAGAGATGGAGAGAGAGACAGAGACAGGGAGACCAATACCCCAGAGAGGCAGAGAGAGATGGAGAGAGAGACAGGAAAACAGAGATCGCTTGTGAGGGTACTGGGCAGAAGGGCTGTCCCTCTCTGTGACCCGCTAGCTGAACCCTGCAAGGGCCTCACAGTCCCTTCTCTCCTGCAGGTGTTCGAACTCTACCCCAGCTTCCTGAAGTACTTTCCTGGCTCACACAGGCAAATCTACAAAAACCTGCAGGAAATCAATGCCTTCATTGGCCGCAGCGTGGAGAAGCACCGTGAGACCCTCGACCCCAATGCCCCCCAGGATTTCATTGACTGCTACCTGCTCCGCATGGAAAAAGTGGGATTTGGGAGAGGCAATGGGGTGGAAGGGAGGAGAACAAAAGACATAGAGTGAAAAGGGAGGGAAAGGAGTAGAGCAGTGGGGGGAAGGGAGAGGGGAGGGGAGCTTTGGAAGGGAGTAGAGGGAGAGAGGAAAGAGGGGGGAGTTGCTGGGGAGGAGACAAAGGTCCGGGAAATACAGGATAAGGGGAACAATGCAGCAGCTGGTGAAAAGAGTCACGGAGGCAGAGAGACTGGGGGAGGAAGGGGACAAACACACCAAAGAGATGGAAGATGACTGAAACAGAGCAAGACAGAGTGAAGGGAGATTGAGACCGAGATAGAGAGACGGTGGGACACACGTGGCATAGAGGAAAGGGGAAAGGTCCAGAAGGTGTAAGACCCAGAAACAGGTGGAGGGACCCGGAGAGAAGAAGTGTGGGCAGCAGGGCCCCCGGCCTCCCCTGATGTGAACCCCACCTGTCTGGATTCAGGATAAGTCCGACCCCCAAAGCCACTTTGATCATCAGAACCTCATCATGTCTGTTCTGTCGCTCTTCTTTGCTGGCACGGAGACAACCAGCACCACGCTCCGTTACGGGTTCCTGCTGATGCTCAAGTACCCGCACATCGCAGGTGGGCAGGCCGGGGACGGACACTGCGAGGGGCTTCTGACCCCTCTGCAGGTCCAGAAATGGGGCTAGAGGTCTTTGGTGAAGGAGAGAGGCAGCTTTCCCCTCTAATACCAGGAGAGCCTGTAGGTTGTTTTTGTTTTTCTGTTTCCCTTCCCCCCTGACCAGGGATTGAATTTGTACCCCATGCTGTGGCAGTGAGCAGCCTTAACCACTGGACCACCAGGGAATCCCCTGAGCAGTGCAGGTTTTGAATGATCTACCCAACTAAACCAGCCCTGTTGGTGGATGGATGAATGAAAAATCTGTCAATCTGGGGAGTTCCCTGGAGGTCCAGTGCTTAGGACCTAGTACTTTCACTCCCATGCCCCTAGGTTCAATCCCTGGTTAGGAAACTAAGATATGGCAAGTAGTGCAGGGTGGCCAAAAAAACACAAAATCTGTCAATCTGTTTTCCCACTGTTTCTTCTATCACTTAAGATCGACCCACTCATTTACCCATCTGTCCTTTCAACTCATCAATCAACCTGTGCACTCAGATTCTTTCATCTGTGATTCATCTAGGATATATACATCCATGCTTTATTTCGACAAACTGATTCATCTATTGATCATTTGAAACAGTGATTCATTGAATGAAGTGTTTGTCACTCATTCATCTGTTTCTTCATTTATTCATGCATCCATCTGTTTTTCTAAAACTAGGTTACATACCTTAATCTTTCCATTGCTTGTTTTTCACTTCATCCTTCATCCATCTATCTTTTCATTTAATTATTTTTTTATACACTCATTTATTCACCCTTGATTTATATATCTATCATGCAATCCATCCAACCACCCACTGATTCCTCTGTTTACCTGTTCCTTTAAATGTATTTATTCACATGTTCTTCCATAAGTTTAGCCATCGAACCATTCATATGAGTTATTGGTTCATCAAGTTCATTTATTTTTTTGTCTATGGATCATTTAGTAATAAATTAGTCTTCGATAAGTTAAGAACACATCCATTCATTAGCCTTCTTCCATTTACCAGTCTTTCCACTCATGAATTGGAGAAGGAAATGGCAACCCACTGCAGTATTCTTGCCTGGAGGATCCTGTGGACAGAGGAGCCTGGTGGGCTGCTGGGCATAGGGTCGCACAGAGTCAGACACGACTGAAGCGACTTAGCATGCATGCATACATTGGAGAAGGAATTGGCAACCCACTCCAGTATTCTTGCTTAGAGAATCCCAGGGACAGAGGAGCCTGGTGGGCTGTCGTCTATGGGGTCGCACAGAGTCAGACACGACTGAAGTGACTTAGCAGCAACAGCAGCAGCAGCCACTCATGAATTGATCTACTAATTGATCAGATGATTGATGTGCTCATTTATTTATCCAGTTGTTCATGGGTTAATCCAGAGATGTGTTTTACTCTTATATTCCTGAGGACCTAGCACAATGCCTCAGGTATAATATACACACAATAAATATTAGTTCATTTTCTACTCATCTTAGAGGAGGAACTTTGATAGGTTCATAGCCTTGAGCTCTTAGTCTGAAATTCTGAGCAAAACTGGGGTTCATGTGTGTGTGTGTGTTTGCTTGTGTATGTTGGGAGAGAATCCATAATGTTCGTTAGATATTAAAGAGTGAAAATTCTTGTAGTTTCCCCATTTCTCCTCCCACTCCAAGCTGGTTACTCAGAGGAGTGTCAGTGATCTAACCATTTCCTATGGGTTTTCCGGGCTTATTGGCCTGGAAATGAATGGACCAATGTTCATAGAACATTGAACTGTGTTCCAACATAGAAAGCAGTGTTCCTGGTGAAATGTCTCTATAAATGAAGTTCACTGGTCCCACGCTTCTGTGCAGAGAGAATCCACAAGGAGATTGACCAGGTGATTGGCTCATATCGCCCTCCAGCCCTGGATGACAGAGCCCAAATGCCATACACGGACGCAGTCATCCATGAGATTCAGAGATTTTCGGACCTCATCCCCATTGGCGTGCCCCACATGGTCACTAAAGACACTCATTTCTGAGGGTACATCCTCCCCAAGGTACAGCACCTCACTGGGCTGCCATATCTCCCTCCTGTGGTTCTCCTGGGTTTTCTTTCCTCTCCCAACCTTGACCTGTTTTTGGTTTTATCACTCAGCCTTGGCTCATGATGTGTAGGGGTGGGTTGGGGAAGGAAATGGAGATATCTTTCAATCTTGTGACCCTCCCTCAGGGCACAGAAGTCTATCCCATCCTGAGCTCTGCTCTCCACGACTCGCATTACTTTGAGACACCAGATGACTTCAACCCTAATCACTTTCTGGATGCCAGTGGGGCGGTGAAGAAAAATGACGCTTTTCTGCCCTTCTCCATAGGTAAGCTGGGCCTGCATTCCAGAGTGCAGGTGCCATGACCTCTTGAGGACAATCAAAGAGAGGTCTTTGGTCATTGAGCAGTTTATCTGTGCCAGTTGCTTTACCCGTATTAACTGATCTCGTCTTCACACCAACCCTAGAGGGGGCTTGAGAACCAAGATCATATCCCAAAGGCAGAACTCTGTAAGGGCAACAAGTATACCTCTCTACACATAGGTATCAAATCTGTTGAGCACCATTATGAGCCAAACATTTCACCAGAGGTTGAAGATAACGCACCAGACAAGTCACAAAGAGACACAGTTCCTGCCCCAGGAAGTTTACAGTCCAACAAGAGAGATAAGCATGGGTTACATGGTTACAGAAAAATCTATAAATGAATAAATGTTGCAGTGGGCTTAGAACTCCTTGGCTAACATAAGTGCTCAGAGGCCAACTCTTCTTCATGTAACGAATCATAATTATGATAAGTTCTCTAAATGGGGGCTTTGGGAACATCAGATAGGAAATACTGACTACTCCTGGTGGGTCTGTGAGGAAAAGCTTACCCTAAACAGTCTTCGAAGCAATGACATCATGGGGGAGTATCAACCAGCCACTGGAAGGCATGTTCCCTCAGAGGGAGAAGCAAGGGCAGAGCCTGAAGGTGAAGATGGCATGGCTCATCTCAGAAAGAACTCAGGAAGAGGGGGATGTGGATTACAGAAGAAAAGGGTGAAGAGGAAGATAAATGAAGAGGAACTAAAGAGCCACTTGATGAGGGTGAAAGAACATTCAAAACATGAAGATCATGGCATCCGGTCCCATCACTTCATGGCAAATAGATGGGGAGAAAGCAGAAACTGGTAGATTTCATTTTCTTGGGCTCCAAATTCACTGCGGATGATGATTGCAGCCATGAAATGAAAAGATGCTTCTCCTTGGAAAAAAAGCCATGACAAAGCTGGACGGTGTATTAAAAAGTACAGACCTTTGCCGAAAAAGGTCCATATAGTCAAAGCTATGGTTTCTCATTAGTCATGTATGGATGTGTAAGATGGACCATAAAGAAGACTGAACACTGAAGAAGTGATGCTTTTGAATTGTGGTGGTAGAGAAGACTCTTGAGAATCCCTTGGACTGCAAGTCGATGAAACCAGTCAATCCTGAAGGAAATTAACCCTAAATATTCATTGGCAGGGCTGATGCTGAAGCCGAAGCTCTAATACGTTGGCCACCTGATGTGAAGAGTTGACTCATTTGAAAAGATCCCGATGTTGGGAAAGACTGAGGGCAGGAGGAGAAGAGGGCGACAGAGGATGAGATGGTTGGATAGTATCACTGAGTCAACGGACATGAAATTGAGCAAACACTCATTGATGGTTCAGGATAGGGACGCGTGGTGTGCTGCAGTCTGTGGGGTCACAGAGTTGGACACGACTTAGCAAGTGAACAACACGGGTGACCAGCTCAGTGGGGTGGGGCCTTGAAAACTGGGAGGAGCCTGAACTTGTTCTGCTGGGACTAGGGAGCCAGGGAGGGTCTTGACCTGCTTTGATTTCACTCTCTCCCTATTCTCTGCTCTTTGACCTCAACCAGAGGAAATCCCAATGCCCAGGTTCTCCTCCTTGGGGAGGAAGGTGGACCCCAGCATCAAGTTCCTAGTTTTGAATTGCACCGGTGACTTCAGTGACTCAGGGCCTCTAGGTCTGCCCAGTGCAATGGCTTCCCCTCTCCTTTCTTTCTAAACTTTTGGCTGCACTGGGTGCTGTGTTGCAGGGGCTCTAGGGCATGCGGACTCAGTAGCTGCTGCACAGGCTCAGTTGTGGTATGTGGGAATCTTGCTAATGGTTCCCCGACCAGGGATCCAGCTAGTCACCCTGCATTGGGAGCTTGGAGCCTTACCCACTGGACCAGCAGGGGTGTCCCCTCCCTCCTTAGTTCTTCTTCAGTGAGAGCCAGGGGACCTGTGGGGTCTGGGTGGTGGATGAGGGTCAGTTTCTCCATTAAACAGTCTTGTCCTAAGTTTTAAGAGAGGCAGAG